AACCAAATGAACAACTTTCTTGATTTAAAAAAAGATTAAAAAAAAACTGCACCTAATAAGAGTATCAGTTCACATTAAAGAGAAATGCCAAACCGGTTTGGCTCAGTGGATAGAGCGTCGGCCTGCGGACTCAAGGGTCCCAGGTTCGATTCCGGTCAAGGGCATGTACCTTGGTTGTGGGCACATCCCCAGTAGGAGGTGTGCAGGAGGCAGCTGGTCGATGTTTCTCTCTCATCGATGTTTCTAACTCTCTATCCCTCTCCCTTCCTCTCTGTAAAAAATCAATAAAATATATTTAAAAAAAAAAAAAAGAGAAGTGTATCCTATATAATAAAAGGCTAATATGCAAATTGTCCCCTCAACAGGGAGTTTGGGAGTTCAACCAGGGGGCAGGGCTGGCTGGCCAACCACTCGTGACCCCTCCCCCTGGCCAGCCCCGCCCCTGATCCGCCCCCCAACCCTAATCAGGGCGGGCTGGTTGAACCCCACCCTTGCACAAAGTCATACACTGGGCCTCTAGTTAAAAAAATAATGTTTTTCTAAATTTGATGTTTATACTCTACCAAACTCTACTCTGACTGCACATAGAAAAACACTGAGGGAATTAAATGAACACCTATTCTCAGGCCCCACATCCAGGGAGTTTTGATTGTTTGGTCTGAGGCAGGGCTGAGGCATCAGGATTGTAAAGCTGTGCAGGTGATGTTAATCCTGCAGTCAGGATTGAGAATCACTGTCTGGCTCTAGCCACTAGATTGAAATGTATTTTTCTCCCCAGAATAAAGGGAGTGTGTGAAACTAGCAGGACCAATTCCTAGGTGATGTGGGATGTATGAATCATAATTAGGCCCTCTAAGTGTCAACCACAGTCTGGGCAGGAACACCTGTGGAGCCAAGAATTAAAAATGAATGATGCCCTTTGTACCATAATGATAATGCATTCTACTCTCTGGGAAGCTATTAAAATATTCCTCTTAAGAGTTTTTTTAAAGCCTATTTTAGTGTCACAAGAGAAAGTAATATGAGATTTTCAAGAAGGCTCTGTGTACTTAATCTGGCAGAGCTCTCTGCAAAATATTTTGGTATTTTATTTATGTGTGCATCATGCAGTGAAAGGGGAGAATGGGAGCTTGCCTGAAAAAAGAGACGGAAAGAGGTTTCACATTTGCATTACATCAAGGAAGTTTGACTTGGCCTAACTACCTCTTATTGCACTTTTCAAATCTTGAGGTCTATTTAGTGCATAAATTTTCTTAGAGTCTAGCCTCATTTAAATGATAATTTATGTCTTTGGAATGCCATTTCTAGCCTTGTTCTTCTGCACACCCGTGGAGCTGATCAGAATGTGGTGATCCGTTTGTTTTCAAAGGAAATTTCATGTTCACATTTTCTCTACAGGGGTTAGTAGAGGAAGACAAGAAAATAGTCCCATAGTGTTTCAGCCAGTTATTGAGGGAACTTTTTCCTTCCATATATATCTTAATAGGCAATTGAATTAGTACTCCAGTAGCAAAAGGTTTGCTGTTTCATACTCCTATAGGTTTTTCTTAACACCATGAAATTAAAGACATGGCAGTGTGGAGCTGAGTGTTTCTGATTACTTTCAAATAAGCAATGTAGTATATTATTTCTTTTATGTGCCTTTATAGCACATGCTGTGTACGATAATTGACTCCACGACAGATGTCTATATTTCAGAAGAAAATTTATTTGTGAAAGAACAAACATATATTAGAACAATTACATTTTGTTGCTCATAAGGTACTTTTTGATGACTTATAAACTGAAATTAATATTTTCTTATTTTTCTGAATATTCATAAGCAAATTGGACTGTTTGATATAACCAATTTGAAATGTATTCTACTACTTGTATCTAACCTTCTGTTCTCAATCAACATTGGGTAGTCTTAGATCTTATTTGAAATGCTGAAGAATGAGAAAGGATGCACTTTTATTTCTTTCTAGAGAAGCATGTAGGCCTGCGCATTCTGCAAGTTGGCCAGGATAAGTTATGTCCATTAGACCTATCTTTACAATAAAATAGCGACTAAAAAGGTCTAAAAATAAGAAGTATAGGAAAGATTCTCCATGGATCATCCTTTACTTCTCAAAATGTTACTCTTTCCCAAGACAAACACTAGCAGGCAACAGCATCTGCAGCCCTAACACTTTTGTGTGAGGTGGATTGGCTTGGAGAACTTGCAACATTAGGTGGACAAGGCTGCTGTAAAGGTAAATTGAGAAAAGGGAAGGACTGCCGGGTTGGTGTGGCTCAGTGGTTGAGGGTTGACCTATGAACCAGGAGGTATTGGTTTCATTCCAGGTCAGGGCACATGTCCAGGTTGCAGGCTCAATCCCCAGTGGGGGGTGTGCAGGAGGCAGCCGATCAATGATTCTCTCTCATCATTAATGTTTCTATCGCTTGCTCCCTCTCCCTTCCTCTCTGAAATCAATAAAAATGTTAAAAAATAAAAAAAAAAGGATATGGAGGCATGTCCCTCTCCATCTATTCTGTAACACTGCCCGAGATCAAATTCTGCTACCTGTAAATAAATTCTTCTATTCTTTTTGGCTCCAATAATTTTTCCTGAGAGGGGGAAGAAACTGGATCCTTTATCCCTATCAGCTGAATGGACACTTTCTGCAATATGATTGTACCATTAAACTAATAGACAGAGGGATTGCCATATCCAGAAAGAATTTAAGTTTAATAAGGTTCCATTTTAGAGATGATTTTTCTTTTAATGAGAAGAAAAGGAGACACTTTTTATTCAGGCAGGTCTCTTCTAGCCTCTCGAACTTGCAATGGCTTAGCTTTTTGTGCACTAGAGGAAAGAAGGGAACAAAAGGAGATTTTACAATGAAATTGGAGGTAGTCTGTACAAAAGTAAAACTGGGACACTGAGGACTGGTTTTGTAATGACAGTGCTAGAGTGCGGAGCCAACATCAGCTGAAGCAGAGCCCTGAGGCCAGGCGAAAGCAGTCTTCTCAGCGACAGAGTGGGCGTGGTTGGCTCCATTCCATAAATCCACGTTGAGCTTGTGTGCTCAGTAGCTGGACTACACACACAGCCTGGAATGCCCTGAGGCTGTGAAGGCTGATCTGGGCTTGGTGGTGGCTTCCTCCAACACACTTGCTCTCTGTCAGTGAAGATGAAGCTGTGCCTGTGCCCATCAGGACCTTGAAGTTATGAGAGAAGGTTGCCATCAGGTAACATTGAAGTGTTCTCCCAGCCATTCTTCCACATTTTAAGGCAAACATGTGGTCACCCACAGAACAGGAAAATTATCTTGACATAAAAAAGCATGGAATAGAGCTTAAAAACAACAATCACCACAGCCTTCATCCTCCTGTCCCTCCCCATCTCCTTCTCCTCTCACCAGAAGTGACTTCTTATTTAAGGAGGGTCCCAAGTGTTTGCGGCAGTTAACCCAGGTCAGGAGGGAGGAATAAAGGCCTTGGGGGATGACTAAAGCTGAGCAGCCTGTGAGATGTAAACTGACCCAGCTGTGTCCTTGCATCTTGTCAGTGACCATCACTTCCCAGGATGAATTTCTCGTCACTGGCCAAGAGCATGGAGGTCATCAGCCTTCCTTGGAACTGAGTTTGGGAAGTGGGGCAGGTGGAGGCATGCTCTGGGTCCTGAAGTTCATCCATGACGCTCCAATGCTCGCTGGGAACTCTGCTGGGAGGCCATCCCGTCTTCCAGCCTACCCGCTGCACGCAGGGGTGGTTTCCCTACAGGGAAATTGTTCTTTCCGAGAGTTCCCTTAAGGCTGGAGGGCTTTGTCCCCTTCATTACAGCCTTTCCCCCGCGTACTCATTAGGTTCCATGTTCCTTCCTTGCCCTCAGTCCGCTCGCTGCTTCTTCCTCAGCGTCCCGGCCCCCACCCCCCAACCGAAGACCCCAGGAGGAGGAGGCGCTTAGGCACTGCGCTAGGGATTCCTGCCAGGAGCTGGGAGAGAAGTTGGGAGAAAGGAGGATGAGACTTGGGGGCATGAAAGGCCGCTGGAGTTGGAGAGGAAAAGGCGCGGTGAGCACACTCCGCAGGGGGTTAAAGGCAGTGACCAACACCTACCCTCGAATGAAATGTGCATCAATTTGTGTGTGGGGTCAGTAACACAGCTTTAAACACTTGGGCGTAAAACCTTAGGGTTGGACTTCCCAGATCCCGGTTTTCTCCTGCTTTGGGATGAGGCGGGGAGGGAGTTGGTTCCTGGGTTTCTTGTCTGTAGTATAGGGGAGAAGTGGTCGAATGCCGACTTAAGATAAAGAGGTTTTAGAAAAAAAGGGATGGTGCAGGCAGAGGTGGGAATAGAAGCTATGTCAGGCGTCAGGAAGGGCCCCCCAGGCTAGGGTTGCCAGCAGGGAAGCCCTGAGAACACCTGAGCCAAGTGGCCGAAAGCCAGGGCCGGGCGGGGTGCGTATGCGAATGGACAAGGCACCCCGGGCCCCGCCGGCCAGGTCTGCACACTCTCTTGGCCGGAGTCCCCAACCCGGGGCGGGAAACGTCCTCCCGCCCGCGCTGGGCAGAGGGAGCGCCGGCCGTTTTCCTCGGCCTCTCCCCGGCAGCCGGCGCGGCCACCTCGCAGGGCTACAAGTCGGGACGTGGGACCGGGCGGAGCAAAGGGAGACAGACTTTCAGGCCCGGCCTCCGCCCGCTTCCCTGGGCTCCCGGGCGGGAGTTGCAGCTCCGGGGCACCTCCTGCGCGCACGTGAGTCCAAACCTCGGGAAGCGGCTAGGAGGGGGCTCTGCGGGGACTCCGTTCTCAGCTCCGCGGCCACGGTGCTCGGGTGGCAGGGGCGGGGCGGTGGCGCCGAGCGCGGGGCGGGCTGGGCGGCGCGGCGCCTCCTCGGGGGAGGGCTGGGGAGCTGTCCTCGGGGAGTCCGGGGTCTAGCGCCGGGCGGGGTGGGGCGCGCGTCGTCGGGGGGAGGGAGCGCCGCGCGCTCAGTCTTGTTCTCGCCTCGGAGCCCGAGCCGCCAACTAACTCCGCACGCCGCGCCCCGCTCCCCCGCCCGCCGCCCGCAGGCTCGGGCTTCCGTCCCGGCGGTGCCAGTGCCCGCGGCCGCGCAGGTGGGTGTCGCCGCCGCGGGGCGGGCAGGGCGAGGGCGAGGGTGGGAAGGCGGAAGGGGGGTCAGCAAGTTGGGCAGATGCGGGGCCGGGACGGGGATCCTGCTGCCGCCTCCGCTCCCGCGGTGCCCGGCGCCAGAGGCGGTTGTGGTTTCCTCCCGGGCTGCTCGGGTCGCGGGGATCCAGCGCCGGGGCCAGGGAGGGTGGCGGGGACCGAGCCTTCCTCGCGCTCCCCGAACCTCTCTCTGACCCCTCGCACCGCCAGCTCGGCCTGGACCAGCTCGCGAGGGGTGACTCTCCCGTCCTGTCCTCCTCGCCTCCGGTCCTTGCCGGCTCTGCTCTCCTTCCTGCCCTTTTGCCAGCCTGGGAGTGTAATGCGCCGGCCCAGGGTGATCGCAGAGGCAGGATGGAAAGTATCCACCACTTGGAGTTAAACTGGGATTTCTGTCCTGCTTCAGTCTCCTTCCCATTAATATGGCCTTTTGGCCCCTCTGTGTTCCTGGCTGTAAAATGCGCGCCTGCTCTGCCCATGCTGAGGGTTGTTGTAACCAACCGTCCAGTGGAATGACTTAAGTATCTGGTTTCTAAAGTTGGTTTGACCATGGTCTCTGGTCTTCTAAAGTTGCCCGATGGCGGGTCCTGTGTTCTAATCCTCTGAGGTCAGATCTTTCTGCTGAGATGTCTCTTCCCGATTTGGTCAGTAGCTTTGTTGGGATAAAAGACTCCCGTTTCTGGACCTGGTCATTAGTATTGAAATCATCTACCAGTATTCCCCACCTAATTCTGTGTTCAAAGCTGGACCTTGCATCTTTCTATGGTTACGGGAATTCAAATAGCAGAAGGTCAATATTGGCCCCAGTCTTTGGAAATAATCAAACTTATTAGGTGTTTGCTCTAGGTGTTTACCAATCTTTACTATCTCTTTTCCATCTTCAGTGCAAATTTGAATTTGCTTTTAATTTTAAACAACTCAGGAAGTAGACCTTCATTTTTGTAAACCTCGGCTATTTAGCTCAAACAACCAACACGTGCCCTGTCATTTGTAAACTTTCCAATTTAAAATCACAGGCACAGGCGTTCTTAGCACTATCCTAATTATTCTATGAAGAAAGTGGACTAATAAAGTCAGCTTTAGTAAGTGGACTAATGAAGTCAGCTTTAAACTTGATATTAAATAGGCAAGTCCTTTCATGAACTCCTGATTTAGTAGACAGTTCATGAGTTCCTGTATTGTGCAGTGTTGCACTTTAAAGGTAAATCTAGAATATCTTCCTTACTCAAAGTCTAAAGGGACTTCCAATCTAACTTAGAGACTATATTTTTATTTCATGTTTTTATGAACATTAATTCTAATGACTACATGTGGCAAGTAGAATGATGGGAAGAATATATTACTGAAGGCCCTGTCAGATCATTATGTAGTGAATCTACTTGATAGAGTGAACAAATACTAAGTTTAGCTAAGCTCGTGTTTTCTGAAATAAAATTTCAGATGCTTCTACTTAAAACAGGAGGCATACTTGGAAATAAAATCTTTATTTTTAGAACGAAAGCTCAGAAGAACATTCATACATGTATGATTTGGTAACAAATGTTGAAAGCTGTAGAAATTGCAGTTCTAACTTTAGTTAATAAGTCAATTTATGGGTGCAATTTCTTCTCCACTCCTTGAAAAATGAAATTATGTTATAATGCATAGAAAAAATAAAGATTGAATGTATTATTTTCAGTATGTTGAAACTTGAACCCTTAATGGGCTGACAGACCCTGGATTGACTCTGGAAATTTGACTTAAAAGATTCTTAGAGAGAGTTTTTTGTTTTGTTTTGTTCTTAGCGATTAAAAATAAAATCTGGCTTGGCGCAAGGGATGGGCAAGAATTCCACCTGGAAAAGGTTAACCGGATTAGGTTGTATGTGTTGTAACTTAGTGACATCTCTGATTCTTTTCCTGCTCATTTGAAGAATCCATCCATCTGTTGGATATGTGTAGAATTTCTTGGTCTTTATTATATACACTACTGGGCTTTGAGAACTTTGATTCAGCTCACATGGTGAAACAAGGCATTTTGAGGGGCACCATGAGGAATGTGAAGTTAACATCACACTTGGCCTATTGCTCTGAATCTTTGTTTTCCTCTTTGTGAAATGAGATTAAAGATCCCGTCACTGCCCTGGAAACCCTGTGGTTTGGTATAATAAGAATATTAAGCCAGAAAGCTTCTTTCATGTATAAGAACTTTCTTCACCCCTTTAACTCTTTTAGCCAGTAGAAGTTAATTGTTAAAAGCACATACAAATAGCTTTAAAAAGGGCTCTGAATAAAGTAGGTGTTGGTGTCATGTACTCTGAAGTCTCTTGAGAGAAGTTTCGGTCATCTTTATCTTCTACAAGTTACTGTACTGATTTGGGAATAAGACCTTCTTATCTAAGGTTGAACAACTAGCTAGTTAGTGGCAGGAGTGGAACTATAATTTCGATTGCCTAGTAAATAGTTCTATAGCTTCTCCTTTTATATGTGGTCTTTTATCCAGGCCACATTTAAAATCTCACATTTATAAATGTATATAGCTAAAAATTTTGGCTTCAGGTTCTAATGGGCTAGGTTGGAGTTCTGCCCAGGCATTTACTAGTCATATAACCCTGTGTAGTTACTTAACCTCCCACGTCCTCAGTTTCCTCGTATCCAAAATGGAAATAATAGGCATACTTAGCTCAAAGGACTGTTGTGATGATTAAATGAACTAATTGATATGAAGTGCTTACATATTGCCTTTTGTTTATTATGTGTTTACTACTCAAGTAGTTATTTCTGTTTCTTGAGGGTGGGGGGATGACATTTTAAATGTCCAAATTAAAAAAAAATACATGAAAACATAAACACACACTCACATCCGAAATATTTTGAATTGTCAATTCCTCAGCTAACTTTTGTTTAATTTATTTATTCAACAAGTGTTTATTGAGCTCCTCTTATGTGTTGTTGAGCCTCTTTCTATGCACTGGTATAAATGGTGTACAAGACAGAGTCCCTCTCTTATGATCTCGAAGTCTGGGGAGAGAACAGAAAATTGCAATCTTATGTGCTTTGTGCCATGAGGGGGTAAAGCAGAGAACCACAGAAGACAGGTGAGATGGATGATAGGCCCCTGGATGGATGGCTGTCATGTGGTGCACCATGTCATCCTAATTAGGGTTGGTGGTAGTCAGAGAAAACTTCCCATGAATACACTCAGACTTGAAGAATAAGTGACAGCAGGTGAAGAGGTTGGAGAATGAAGAGTGTTCCAGACTAAGGGGAACAGAGCGTGATACATTAGGATGGGAGTCAGGTAAATAACGTAAAAAGAATAAATAAATGGTTGTAGGAGAGAGCAGCGTGGCAACCTGGAGAACCCAGGCTTTGTCTAAAGCAGTGGTTCTCAACCTTCCTAATGCCGCGACCCTTTAATACAGTTCCTCATGTTTTGGTGACCCCAATTTCATTGTTACAGATTGAACATAATTAAAGCATAGTGATTAATCACAAAAACAATATGTAATTATATATGTGTTTTCCGATGGTCTTAGGCGACCCCTGTGAAAGGGTCGTTCAACCCCCAAAGGGGTCGCGACCCACAGGTTGGGAACCGCTGGTCTAAGGGAACAGTAGATACTCAGTTCCAGCCAAGTATTGTCAGGTTCGGTTGCAGGCCAGGTATCGCCAGATGCCATGATTTTTAAAGAAGAGCTTAAAATTCATTTTTTACAAAAGTGAAATCTCCTTAAGCGTGAAATGGCCCAAATGCTTTTTAAATGATTGTCTGAGCCAATTTGTAGTTGGAATTCAACCCAGCGCCACCATTTTATGACCTCTGCATTTAAGGAAATGAAAAAGGTTTAATGTGCCTAAAAGAATGCATCTTAGAAGAGGAGGCAAAGGAAGTGCCCACAGGTATGGGCAGAGCTATATCATTCAGGGCCTTTGGAGCTGGCTGAGGAGGGTTGGGTTAATTCTGAAAGCAGCGGGTGACATGAAAAACTGAAACAAGAGTAACATGATGAGATTTGTGTTTACAAGGTACATTCTGGCTACTGTATGGAGAATTAGAGTGCCTGGGAACAGACTGTGGTGATAACCATTTAGGAAACTATTGTAATTGTCTGAACAAGAAATAAATATGGCTAAAAGCCAGGTATTTGAGCAGGATAGAGAGAGATGGGTGGGTTTCGGAGATATGTATGATGCATCCACTGTTGAAGATAATTCTCCACTAATCACTCAGGTTTCTGTGAGCAGAGGCATTGCAGAGGCACTGCTTTCATTCTAAACTGTCTGTTCAAGGACACTTACATAGCAGACAACCTTGGAAAATAGAGGTCGTTTTTCCTCTGGAGCAAAGGGCAAGTAGGCTTCCTGTCTAGTGTAAAAGATTTGGGTACTCTAAGCTAGGTTCCCCTTCTGTAATGCAAATCATTTAGTGTGTAGGTGTCACCTACCCTTCTTCACATCATACTATGGGAATTAGGCTTCAGAGAATTGGTACAACTATGCTAGTACTCCTGCTACTATTTCTGTGAGTAATGTAGTTCTTTGTCTCCGTCCCAGGAATTCCATGTCTTCTCCCAGCATCCATGAAGCTGTGGCATTCTTATTTGTTCACTTGCAAGTAGGGTAAACTCTAATATCCTTTACAGCCACTAGCTACAATGTCTAAGTGTAAATTAATTAAAATAGAAAATGTTCATTCCCCAGTCACCTTAGCCGCATTGTGTGTACTTAACCGTTTGAGTCCCAAGCAGCGTGATCGCGCTGCTTGGTATTTCATGACATAAAATAAAACAAGCGCTATCACGCTGTTTGGGTCTTTTTGTACTCATTAAGAAAAAGCGGGTTCTCGCATCTTTGGGATTCTTCGACAGTGTTTTTTTTAATCCCCCTGGGTGTCCAAAACGAATGTATTGTTTTTTATAAAATTATTCAAAAGGGGCAATCGCGCTGTTTGGGACTTAAAAAGGGTAAAA